GTGAATTTTAACAACTGGGCTAACAGTCTCGTCATAATCGAGTCCAATCTTCTACTTAAATTCCTGTGCAACAAGGCGAGCTTATGAAGTTTTCCTTGACTTTAAAACCTATTTGCAACCGGCTAAATTTTTTTTGAAGGATCAAGTGGTACAATATCCCACATGTGATTGGTAGCCGAGGCATTAAATTCATATGCCATGGCCGCTTTCCAACATGGTTCAAGAATGACCTTAGAGTTGCAAGTCGGTGTCTCTTCATGAAAAGAGTGAGAGAGATTAAAAAATTTTCTTTGAGTATAGAAATTCCAGATTTGACACGAGTTTGCATAGGATGAGTGAAGAGAAGAAACGGAAGTGGAGGAGCTGAATAAAGATGCAGAGAGGATTTGCGGGTCTATTGTGGGAGGAATTAGGTCGAAAGAGGAGTCAGGTTGGGACACAATGAGTGGAATTGAAGGGAGGGACGGTAAAGGTGAAAAAGAAATGGAAGCAGGTTGGGCAAGCCAAGATTAGGAGAGAGGCGGGTTAGGAGGTTGGGCTAGAGAAGAGGAGAGAGGTTGTGAAAATTTCTAAATTACGTCATCATGTTTTATTTAGTTTTCTTTTTTTTTTCCTCATCTCTACATACGTAGAAAGTACAAAGTTCTATTCTTATGAATCAAATAATTCCAGATTGTAAAGGTATACGAAGCTATGTATCATTAGAGAAATCGGTACACATTTTGAGATATACTTTCTTCTCTCACATGAATATAGTGCTACGACATGAGAGTGATCCATATCACATGTGAGAGAAAATATGTGTCGGGCCACCTAATTGTTTAGTGAATTATTGGCAAAATTCTAATAGTCTACCCCTCTTTTGGAGTTGGCTATTGAGTTTGGCACATTTCTCATATACTTTTCTTACATTTCCAAGTAATTAAAAGAAAATTTGCGTTTTCTAACCCCCCCTCCCAAAAAAAAAAAAACACGATGAGAAGGTGTTGCAATCCTTACCCTCTCGTGGGTGAATTTACACAATTACTTACATATACGGGGCAAGTTGAGTACATTAATGTATTTATGTATGATCTTTGAATCGATAATTCAAGAAGAGAAGACAATGGAAAGGTGGCAAAGAAGCAATGTATTGACTAGTGTTGCGTGTGTGATTGGAATCTAGCTTCCCAATGTGGGATGGGAATATGTCACGCGCTCGGTGAAAATTCTTCGAGTGCTTAAAGAGCTCTAAACACCTTATTATTGAAACAAAGGATCTAACTCCATTGCGTAAATATATGAGATTCGGGAATCTTAAATTTTGTTCCAGAACCTTAATTATACCTTCTATCTTTTGTTAAATTAAGCGACTATTTGGAACGATTCAAATTTTTAAAGCATACATATATTTACGTATAAACTGACTCGTAAGTTTAAGACTTGTTTGAATCAATGCTTTTGCATAACTTCTCTTGCCAAACATTTGATTTGGAGAGAAGCCATAAGTTGAAGGGACATAGGCTCCCAAATTTATGTTACATTTGAATTATTCATCAATACAAAAGAGTATAGAAGAATTAGGTAACTTTGAAATTCTAGATATTTATATTTTTCTTATCTTATTTTTATGTTAGCCCAAGAAAATCACAAAGGCAAAGAGTCAATGATCACCAGTCATTTCATTTCCCTATCATTTACTCTCTCTCTCTCTCTCTCATTTATTCATTTGTTTACTAATTTCCTAACTTGACCTTTTCAAAGTAAACGGTCTACCTCTCGATTTCTTCAAAATCAATTTTTTTTTTGTTTTTTTATATGACCTACTGATTATTCTCTTCGTACACAAACGATACCCACCAAGTTTAAGTGCACTAAATAGAATTATTCTTGGAATTCTTGGCAAAATCAGTTCCACTAAAATAGAATCTGATGAGATCACTTATTCCCATTAGAAGTCAAGCCAACGTTTTGAATCAACGGCAATATATTTTTTTTTCTTAAGGAGCACTTTATGAGAATATGTAGTTTATTCAATTCCGAAAAAAAAGGAAACTACAAGAGATGTTAAATCCAATTCACGTATGTGGTGCACTTTCTTGATAGCCCAATTGAAAATCATTATATCAAATTGCTATTAAGTTCGATCGAGCTATTTATGAAAGAATTGAGAGTAGGTCCAAATTTACATTTTCATGATATTTGATCACTCATCTTCATTTTCACCTTTTGGACGATTTTTTAGTTATTTAAATAAAGAAAACGAATATAGAATAAGTCTACAAATGTCTCTTAAAACTTTCACAGTACCTAAATATCGATATGTATATCCAAATGTAATTTTTTTTCTTAATACTTAGAAATTTGAATGGTATCTTAAATTTTTTACGGTGAAAATAAGAAGACATTTTTTTTTGCCTATTTTAAAGGGTAAACAAATATGCCCACAAAAATGAGAAAGAGATCGAAGGTAATTGTCAAGACTAAATGCAACTTGTATTATTAATACGTCGAACCTGGTTTTCCTATGGATTCTAGAAGTGTGGTTCAGCAATTGGCAATCATGGATGGGCCCGCTAGTCTTACATAATACCACAAAAAAATAAGAAAGTTCAATTGTCAACAATAATAATGACGATGATAATGATCTAAATTCAGTTAAACAATTTGGTTGATTTTGATAAGGCTTCAATCAAATCACAGTTCTACTTGCTCACTTTTTTAGTAAATTACATGATCCATCATTCACTTTGAGGACTAATTTCAATTAAGTGAACTTTTAAAACTTTTTAATCAAGTTGTTCGACTTTTGTGTTTCCCAATCACATCACTCGGTGAATCATCCATGGAATTCATATAGCAATGGTGGAAGTTGACGTGGCAATTTATCCACTCGCGATGTGGCATGCCGTGTCTTGATCCGTATTTTACTAATCTCTTAACTAGTCGAAGGCGTAATTTGATTCGAATCATTTCAAAGCATAATTAGCTGATCGAAAGTTTTGAAAACTCGAAGATCTCATTAAACATAATTTGAAGTGGGAACATGAACATTTCAATCTATCATATTACACGCAAAAGCCAAGTCTCCTTATACAAGAAGGATAAATAAAAAACAAGACCTATTTTGAGTTCTCAATTACTCCACTTAACTTGACATGAAATGAGGCATAAGCATAAACAACGCTTGGACCCAACATCGCGAACGAAATTGCTTACCTAACATCTAACTTTTTCGCGGAAGGAAGGAGTTCCAATCTCTACCTACATCTAGAGTCAATGAAGATGGCAACCGTACTACAGGCAAAGGCAAGTAATAGATCGAACAATTCTAGAACTTCTCGATGTTATGCGGATATGCAATCTATTTAGAGAATCCAATTACGTAGCCTTTCTTTGTTATTGCACAGAAAGATCCCTCTTTCTTGGGTTAGGAGACTCATAATGCAAGGACATAAAGTCAAGATTTTTTATCTTGCGTTACAAGTTTGCAGAGGTTACATGTTTAAAACTTATGGTGCACTGGGATTGACAGTATAGAGCAAACCATTTACGTCTGGCCATTGTAGATTTTCATGGCTTTTCTTCACAAGGGACATGATGTTAGGTAGATTTCATCTTGTCGATTTAAGTTCACGCATTAATTCGTAGCGATCTATTGCCAACTGGGTTTCTTTTTGTGGTCGGAGATCTACCAAAGATTTCAATTTGAACTATTATAACTAGAGGTGGCAAAATGGGTTATCGACCCATAATTTTAACGAGTTGGGCGATGTGTCGTTGTCTAAGATTCGAAATATAGGTTGGAATAGGTTTAAGGTAACCAAGCACAACTCACCGTGGGACCGTCCTTTATCCATTTTGTGCTCCGAACGAGGTTTTCATCTTCCTCAGAGGAGATTCAGAGCATGGTAGCATTTGAGCACACGTTGGAAGAAGTCGTCACGCAACTGTAGAGAACCAATGGGCGATGCTTGGTTAGGAAATATAAACAGAGATTGTTTCAAATGAAATATAGATAATAGCTCTTGCAAAATGGTGGGCACTTCTCAGCAGTATTGATTGTTGCATGTTAGAATTGAGTGCATATAATTTGGTTACTAAGTCAGATACTCTCTCCCTCAATCAGACTTTGTAAGAACACGGCATTTTAAATCGTACAAACTCGAGGCGTGTAATTAAAAACAATGATCAAAAACTAATTAAATTGTGCAAATACGGCAACAGTATTGATTATATATATTTTTTAAGTATGCTATTTTCCTTATTTAAGGGAGACAAAAGTAGCTAAGAATTGGATTCCTTGACGAGCTGGGAATGTTTTGGGAATGGTCAAGTCAGATATGTATCACTAAATTTGTGCTACATAGAATTAGGTCAATTTGGGTCAGACCCATTTTCGACTCAGTCCACCCGTCCAACGGGCCTAATCACACCCCACAAGAGGTCCACTTGAACTCTCTTCGTTCAAACTTACACTTGGAGTTTTAGATGGTTTTGACGCAACAAAGAACAGCTTAGTGCTCGTGAACTTAGTATTTACATGGTGAATTCAAACTGTAGAGCCAGTTCCGTAAAAAAAGTTGGTGTTATGGCAAATGAGGACGGGGTAACATGAAAAGAAGATCACAAAAACAACGGGAAATTCTATCGTACTACAGGAAAAAAGGGCAAAGTAAAAATACCCTCTTACAGCATTTGATTCATAATGGTGGTGCAAAGAGCTTCTGTCTTAATAATCATCATTTCCTAGTTGACATGCTTCAACCATCAGAAACATATGATAACTTCACCTCTTAGTTACCATAGGCGACAGTTCGATCAATTGCCTACATCATTCAACCTAAAACACTGCTCCATCAGTCGGACTTGATCTCCTAAGTACTTTCCCTGGATATATTTTTGCGAATGTGCATATGCACCCGTCCATAGTGCGAGCGTGACTTTGTGCGTTTGCATGTGTGCACGCACGCATGAGAGAGAGAGAGAGAGAGAGACCCAAAAATGCCCTTTTTTTTAAATTCCGAAAGCCAAAAAAACAATTTACTTGAGGATTATTTCATCAAAGGAATTTTCATGCGGGATTTAACCAGTACAAAATGTCAGAAACATCTCTCCTCAAGCCAGATCACATTAAACAAAAGAAGGGTAATGCTGAAAATGACCAACCGAGAGCGGCCCTAAGGTTCGAAGCCCTAACTGGTTAGAGCCAAGTTGAGAGCGCTATGCACATCCACTCCAATTTGTGCTTCAGCCTTTTCCAAGTCAGTCGAGGCTGAGTTCACTTTTTGGGTGAACTCGGCAAGCCCCTTCTGGACCAGGTTTGCATCAATTCTATCAATCGGCACAGCCTCAACAGCGATAATATCTGCATATGAGTTTGCATGGATGAATGCGAAGCCACTGCTAACAAAGTACTTTGTCACATCATTTCCATCATGAACCGACATAAGTCCAGGCCTTAGTTCAGCAATAGTTGGCACGTGTCCAGGAAGAACACCAAGTTGTCCTGTTGTTGCTGGCACTATGACCATGTCCACCTGAAAAAAAGGGGGAAGAGAGCTCATTCACAACCACGTCCATGTTAGTAGCGTGTATGTGCGTGGCAGCAACAGAAACTTTGTTGATTCAACTAGTGCTTTAATTTCGCACTTCAAAAATGCATTAACAGCTCACAGCAACGCAAGATAATGTGCACAGCATTCAAAGTTAGTTCAATTTGTCATCCTAGAACCCTAGAATAGGAGCTATCCCTCTCCTTTGATAATCCCTACTTGGATTGCCACTCCAAGCTTCACATCTTTATTTTCCTCAGTAAAGATGTCACAAGATTGAGCAGATTCAATTACTACGACCATGACCTCTCAAAGTATGGGCAACAGAGAAGATAAGGTGGTCCATCTTTGCAGACCATGTTTAGTAGCAGGTTTAATGTAGTCACTACAAGACAAACAATGGGAAAAAAATACCAATATCACAGAAAATAAGTTGTTCTAAGGGTCCAGACTGACCAAAATAAAAATAGAATCAACTATCAAGTCTGTCACAATCATGAGAAACCCACAAAGTCCCTAGAACTCTGAAAAATTAAGTGCTAATGGCTTGTCCACAGCCTATGAGTTTGGGGATTATTCTACTTAAGATGAGCAAATAGAACCCAAGATGAGCAAATAGAACCCAGGGAAGATATATATATATATTTATATGACAGTGCGGAGGATTTGATTAGGAAGGAAGAGAGGATTTTAAAAGTGATTGGGATTTGATGCGGCGAACAACACATTCTCACGTAGTTTTTAAATCCCTACAACTCCATCCATATATGGAGGATTGGGATAGATGTAGTGGATGAACAAAACTTTTCTTTTTTCTCGCTTATACCCTTATATTATCTCTATTCTTAAATACATATAAGGACATTTAGGTTACAATGCAGTTGTTTCTATTCTTTTCCCTTACTAGCCTCCAAACAAATTAATACTTGAATCCCTCCATCTCCCTTCTGTACTTTTGTCTAGTAATTATTTCTAATCACCTCTACCATATACAAAGTAAGTGAAGAAATAATTCATTGATTGTTCAGAGATAAGTAATACAGTAATGGCGAAAATAAAGTAGAAGAAGCTTCTAAGCTTCTATACAAGGGAGCAGGCATCTATAAACTGACCTACCACAATGTACCCGCTCAGAAAAAATGGTAAGAGTGGCATGCAAACAACTACTGAATGATACGGCTGAGTTAGAAACCACTAAACAAGCAACAGCACATGCATGCTTTTAGAAAAAAATAGGGGGGAAAAAAGCTATTTCCTCACCACCACAACTAGTTGTGTTGTTTGTGTATTCATACTTCTGTTCAAAACCTTATCTCTCACTCACCGTTTTCATTACTTATTTTCATTGGATCTTTCTAAGCTATAAAAGAATCCATTGATTGGAAAAAGAGATGACATACTTCTACGAAACAGAGTAAATTAAGGGTTTTCACAATGCATTACTTCGGCAGTAGCTTGATGTTTAGTGTCTAATCATGATGCTCACTCACTTCGCCCGTGAACTACTTATATTACAAAATCAAAAAACAAAATGCAGCTTACCATTCACAAAAGCGAAAACTTACGACAAATTGGGCCATAACTATTAAATGCGACATCTAGATGAATCCTTGGTTTGGGCCAAAGAAACAATGTCACTCATATTTTTTCTAGAAGGCAACTTGGGTCAGAAATTTTCCAGCATAAGTTACTTTCATTGTTTCAAACTGTGTGGCGACACATTCTCACTCTGAGCTCCTCCAAGAAAGGTGTAGATTTTTGGAAAGTAGAGTTCATCGTGCATGAAGAGGAAACTGCTAATCATCTCCATCAATGTTGCCCTTGGATGTGCCAATTCTACAACTTCACAAGATTCTGGAATTCATTGGATCACAGAAGGTTAGGGAAAGCAAGAGAGTTAAATCAGTGTCCCCTCCGCCATAGAGAAAGTCTGTCTTGCTGGACCTCCCAGTCTTATAACTAGTTAAGAAGAAACGAATACATGGGCTTTTGAATATAAAAGTGCTTCTACTAACATTTTCAGAGACGGATGCTTTAAAACTTTAATGCGTTTGGCATCCTTGAAATAATCCCAGGGATGTCAATGCTTTGACAGACATAGGAGATTCTCTCTCTAGTAAATGAGCTTTTTTCCCGGACTTGATCTCTACTTTTATACCGGTTACATTCTTCAGCACCTCCATAGTCAAGTTTCCTTTCACTTTGCACTTAGTGAACAAGAAACAGAATGAAACAAGGACCAACATGGCGAAGAGATGCACAAAAACAACCATAGAAGAACAAATCAGAACTACAACAAGAGAAACCATCATCTATAATCAAGTCTCCAGCCAAACAATAGATGTTCAATCTTGAAGTATGACTTCAATCTAAGACCTGACTTCAATCTAAGACCCACATCTCGAGTATGTTTACCCTAGACCACAATGGGAAGTTCTTCAGCCGGGGGGAAAAAAAATTTCGACTCGATCACTTACACTAAATCACTCTGTAATGCAAATCATGTACTTCTAATCCACAGACCATCCAATCATTTCGCTCCGAAAGCAAAGGGAAAGATGTAAAAACCTCCCAAAAGCACACGTAAATCGCGGCGGCAATTCGATTCGCCAAACACGAATGCAATCCAACCCTTAAATCACCTCGATACACTGCAATCAACACATAGAACGCATCGTAAAAGCATGACCCCGACTTTGGGCATCGGAAATCACTACGTGACAAACCCCGCCGTAGAACTAACACCGGAAACCTCTACTCATCGACAATCCCGCAATCATCCGCGCACACAACTAATCTCCAATCGACAGAGAAAGAAATCGCGACAAACAGAAACGGCAACAGATCCGGCTAAAGAAAGACGAGCTCGCGAACCGATCGGAGAGACGGACCTCCTTTGCGGACAACTCCGAGGCGTACGGGAGGACGAAATTGACCGTGAGCTTGGACGGGATCGCGGACGGAGTGGCGGGCCTCGGCTGCATGAAGGAGAGAGGGGTCTTGGGCGGGTCGATGTTGGGGACCACCTTCTTCCACGCCTCCACGAACGCGGCGTCCGCCGCCGCAGCCTCCGCCGCAGGGAGATCCGCGGAGAAGGGGCGGGACGGGGCCCCCCTCGCGGCGGCGGCGGCGGCGGCCGGGACGGGACGGTGGAGGAGCTTGGCGGCGTGCCGGAACATGGCGGCGGAAGGTCGGAGTTCGCTCGGCTCTCGCAGGGTCGGAGGAGGAGGAGGAGGAGGAGAAGCAGGAGAAGAAGAAGAAGAAGAAGTGCGATTTGGGAGTGGGAGAGAGAGAGAAAGAGGGGAAGAGGTCGCAGTGATTTTCGTTTGGGTACAACGTAGAAATGGCCCTCATACTCTTGCCGATATTCGATTACGGCCCTAATTTTTTCATTTTTGTTCAATTTCGTCCTTCTACTCTTTTTACAATGTTTGCGATTTGGTCCTTCCGTCGATCTGATCGCGGCGGTAGAGATCCCAGGTCGATGCGGCCCGTCCAGCTAACCCGCGTTGCGATGATGCCACCGACGTCTCATTAGTCGATTGGGTTTATGCCGCCGCTAAAAAGTACAATAGAAAGGCCAAATTGCGCTTGCTTATACGAGTATAAAAACGGAATTGAACAGATACAAAATTTCGGGACTAAATTGACATCCAGCAAACTTTGGTTTTCTTTGTTTTCCTTATTTCCTTCTGTTTGGGTCATTTAGTTGTCTCATTTCTATGATTTGAATTATCGTAAACATGCTGCTAATTAAGTGGTTGTTCATTGAGAAACTCGAGATAATCACACCGACGCAATGGTGGGAATGCCAGAATCTCTCCCCCAAAGATTAGTGCGATAAGAAATGAAGAAAAAGAGTCATCTTGCATTACACTAGTCTTCAAGGAATGAGGTGACAAAAGGCTGACAGGCAACAATGACGATGATACTTAGCTATCCATCCCCATATTCTAAGTAGTGGCGATCGCATACCGATGACTTTCTTTTGTCAGCATGGTGGTCGTCGGTCGATCTATAACAATGGTTGTGTCGACACACCACGCATTTGAGGTAGCATCGAGTCAGGCAATTGCTCTTGGAGTTGTTGCCAACACGGTGAACGTCATGTAGTTTTATTGATGGCAAGCAAACCGGCTGCGAAAATGCTCCATGGCGAAGAATTTCTTTTTATTACATTGCACTCAGGTTACACCAAGTATGCCACAAATTTTAAGATGCAAGATGTCCTTATTTCAACTATGAAAGCCAAAAGAATATTCTATTGAAGAATTGAAGATTAACCAGTACAAAATGTCAGACAGCTCACCTTAAGTCGGACCAAGATGCCAATCAAGCTAATATATTGAGAACCTAGAACGGCTCTGAGGACTGAAGCCCTAGCCGGTTAGAGCTGAGTTGAGAGCACTATGCACATCCACTCCAATCTGTGCTTCAGCTTTTTCCAAGTCAGTGGAAGCGGAGCTCAGCTTCTGGGTGAACTCGGCAAGCTCCTTCTGGACCAGGCTTGCATCAACTCGATCAAGCGGTACAGCCTCAACGGCGATAATATCCGGATAGGAGTTCGCATGAACGAATGCAAAGCCACTGCTAAAAAAGTATTTTGTCACTTCGTTTCCCTTGTGAACCAACAGAACTCCAGGTTTTAGTTCTGCAATGGTTGCCATATGTCCAGGAAGAACACCAAGTTGTCCTGTTGTTGCCGGTACTATCACCATGTCCACCTGAAAAAAAAAGGGGAATGGGAGATTATTAGAACAGCTAATGCAACATAAGAGCCTTCACGCATGCGGCAGCAATAAAAGCTTTGAAAGCAGTGTTTCTGTGATTGTGTTTCAAAAATGCAGTAACAGCTTGCAGCAAGCATTGAGAAGCGTATAGCATTCAACATCATTCATATTTTTCATCCTAGAATCACACTCCTTCGACAATACCCCCTACTTGGATTGCCACTCCAAGCTTCACATCTTCACTATCCTCAGTATGATGTCATGGGATTCAAAGCAGATTAGATGACCATGACATCTCAAGAATGGGACAGCCGAGAATATAAGCTCTATCTTTGCAGATCATGATTATTAGCAGGTTTAAAGGAGTAGCTACAATACAAACAATTGGCAAAAGCATACCAATATACACAGAAAACATTCTTCTAAAGGATCCCAGCTGACCAAAATAAATATGGAATCAACTATCAAGTCTGTCACAGCCATGAGAGAAACCCACGAAGTCATTAGAACTCAAAAAAGTAAAGCTGCTAATGGCTATTCCTGGGACTATAAGTTCGGGCATCATTCTACAGAAGCTCAAAAGAGTATGCAGAGGAGATAGAATCAAATTTCTTTCATAGCTCTCATTGGCTTTTAAAGTGATACAGTAAACTGCTAAGGTGAAAATACAGTGGAAGCAGATTCAGCTTCTAGACAAGGCAGCATCCATCCATAAACTGACCTACCGCAACATGCCCTGTTACAAACAGTTGAATGTGTGACTTGCAAACCATTGCTGAATTGTAAGTCTAAGTAAAAAACCAACAAATATTACAAATATGTAACAGATACATGGATCCCTTTAGAAACAAAAAAACTAAATTGGAGCTATTTTCCTCACCCCACAACTAGTTGACTCTCTTGTGTACTCCAACTTCTGTTCAAAAACTAATCTCTCACTCACCTTTTCCATCACTATATAAGCACCTTCCAAGTTGCAGCTTTCTGAACTTGCATCTCTTACACAAGGCATGCACGTATCAGCAACACCAGCAGTTATGGAATCCAAATGAAAATTCTGATAAGAGAGTTACTTTCATTTATCATTAGAAGAAGGGTGACTAAAACAGGGAAGGTAAAGTTGCAGGGGCCCAACTTAACAATATCTCGTGATCCGCTTTGAAAGCAATAGGTATGCTGATATTCCGAGAAATCTGACTTTTTTTGTTGCTTGCTAAGCATTTTAATTGGATTTTTCTTTTTGACAATAAAAAAGTAAATGCCTTCAATGAATTTCAGACAAATCACATAGGTGAAAGATGGTGGCAGCTAAATTCGACTCAGGAGTTGGATGCATCTCAAAAATAAAAAGATGCCTCACGACCAGGGGGTGGAAGATGGGTTAGAGAAGGCTGGAAGGACTTCCACAATTAAAAATGACACTTAAGTTGGGGGAAAGTGGTAACACACTAATGTTCCAAGATTGGAGTGGTATTGCACTTTTAAGAAATCAATTCCCTGATTTATTATGTATTGCCAGAACAAGAAAAAAAGCTTTTTTTTGCTGTAATATACCACCATGCGAGAGTAGGACATTTTGGTCCACTAATTTTTCCAGACAAGCCATGATCGGGAATTAGAACCATTGACCTTTCACTAGACCTTATCTAAGCTATATGAGAGTGAATTAATTCAAAAAGGACACAACAAACGTCTAAGAAAATGGAGCCAATCAAGGTGTTTTCACAGTGAAGTACTTTCGTAGAACCTTGATATTCAATGTCGAATCACATGACCCTCACTCACTTCATGCATGAATTACTTGTGTTCAAAAAGAAAAAACTTAGGACAATGATATCTAAGTGAATCCTTTGTCTGGGCCAAAGAAGGAATATCACTCACATTTTCCCTAGATGCCAACTAGGGGTAGGATGTGCTAATTCTACAAAATTTTAAGATTCTATGCAGATTAATTGGGTCATAAAAGTTTAGGTAGAGTAAGAGAGTTGTAACAGTGTCCCCTTCGGTTTAAAGGTCTGTAGTTGCTGGACCTCTGTCTGTGTTATTGCTAGATTCAAAAGAAAAGACTAAAAGGGCTTTCCATGGGAAAGATGCTTCCATTAGTACTATCGTTGGAAACTTAAAAACTTTGGTATACCCGAAAAAATTTTCTGGATGAAAAGTGCTTCCATTAATATCTCCAGAAATGGGCTGTTTTCTGGGCTTGATTTCTACTCGTATGTGTGTTTGCATTCCCCATCACCTTTGGAGAGCAGTTTCCTTTCACTATGCTCTTAGCGAACAGCCGAGACAATGAGGATTGGCATGTGGAGAAGGCACACACTCAAACATGAAAGGGAAGAACTACAACTACAAGAAAGCATTACCCGTAGTCGAGTCTTCATCCAAGCAACAGATGTTCAATCTAGAAGTGGAATTCCAATAGTCGAGTCTTTAGCCGAACGACAGATGTTCAATATTTTGAAGCGAACCTTCAACGTAGCACTATACATCCCAGTAAATTGCTTATCCTGGACCACAGTCGCAAGTACTTCAACAGGCAAAAACAATCTCAAGCCAATTACTTGCACAAAACCAATCTGCAAACTCTCAAATTTGTGCTACTCGCGCGCATGTCGTATCATTCTACACTAACAATGCATTGAAAAAGCACGACCACGTCCATCGGAAAACACTCCATAACAAACTTCACACCGGAGAACTGACACTGGAAACTCGACTCGTCTAGAAACCCCGCGATCATCCACACGCAACTAATCTACGATCAACAAGCGAACGAAGCGCGGCAAACCGAAATTGATTAAGAATTCAGCTGATCGAGCTCGAGAATCGATCCGAGAGACGAACCTCACTGTGGGACAACCCCGAGGCGTCAAGGAAGGACGAAATTGACGGCGAGCTTGGACGGGATCGAGGACGCCCGCCGTCCGCGCCGCCGGGAGATCCGCGGAGAACGGCGCCGGGACGAGGCCCTGGCGACGGCGGCGGCGGACGTCGTCGGGGTGGGCCGGCGGAGCGGCCTCGTCGCTCGCCGGAGCATGGCGCAGCTGGATCGGAGGCTCGCCGGGCTCTCGCGGGGCCGGCGGCGGAGGGAGGAATGCTGTCCTAGGGTTAGTTAACGGCGGGAAGGGCTAACAGTAATACGGTCGCCGTCGTCTTTGGCCGTTTGAAATGTCCGTAAATATAAACTTCGGTAGATACTAGATACACGGAAAGTAGATAATTTTTCTTTACGTTCAAAGTTCGCGCCGTTCGCCAATCGTCTCGAAATTAGGTCGGGTTTGACTTTTCAGAATAAGAAAAAGGTCATGTTTATTCGATTCAATATGAATCTCGATATGATTAGGCTATGTAGATTAAGAAAAGAGTAATTCGAGAACTGTTTACCTTATGGCTCGTACATAAAAAGATGACGTATCTTGACACTATTGAGATAAAAATTACTGTCATAAAGTAAAAAAATAATGCGTGTTTTTCGACTGTTTATAACTCAAAGGGTTTTAAAAGATTTTTGTTGGATACGTCGGTTTATTAGCCATAATTTTTAATAAGGTAATACCAATGTACTTGCATTTTCATATTAAAACACTAATTTCTAAAATTTATACATTGTTATGAATCTGTACACACCCCTATGAAGAAAACAAGAGAGTGTACTATTAAAAAAAATATTATTTAGTTATTAGCCTTGTTTAATCTTATTCAAAAAGAAGTTTAATATTGCCTATATATATCTTAGTAGGAAGCTCTGGTCGTATTATACAAAAGTTAGTTTGTTTTTCGCAATTAGATTGAAGTTATGTGCGCACAATAGAAAAAAGAGCGATGCATTCAATATTTTACTCGCACAACAAATCTGATTTGAGAAATACAATTACATCATCGATATTTTGTTAAACAAATAAAAACAGCTCATAAATATTTCATCACTCGTTAATATAAATAGAATAAAAATGTACTAATGCACGTACAAAGTAGGGTTTGTTTTGATTTTTTTAATAATTCAACATTGCTAGGTAAAGAGTGTACGAGGTAGTTACCTATTAATTAATTACAAAGACAGATTTATATCTCTGCATCTCTTGCATTTATAAACTAATGCGTTTCAAAGTTAATCAATATTTATTCATCTTCTTGTTAAGGATAATATTTAGGGATAAATGCACTGGAAACCCTAAGATTTGTCATGAAAGTGCAATTAAATCCTAAAACTTTCAAAAAGTGCAATGAAGTCCTAAAACTTGTCAGGAAAGTGCAATTAAATCCTAAAATTTTCAAAAAGTGCAATCAAGTCCTAAAACTTATCACGAAAGTGCAATCGAATCCTAAAATTTTCAAAAATTGCAATCAGTGGAAGAACTCGATTGAACCAATTTGACAAGTTTTAAGACTTAATTGCATTTTTTTAAAGTGTTAGGACTCAATTGTATTTCGTAACAAGTTTTAGGAGTCAATTGCACTTTTTAAAAATTTTAGGATTCAATTGCACTTTCATAAAAAATTTTAGGACTTCTAATGCATTTATCCCTAATATTTAACAGTGAAACAGTATGTCCATTCATATAAGAGACGCATATTTTCTTGTAAAGGCAGTTGTTAAATATGCAAAGCGTAATTTTCATGTGCATAATGAGTTTAACCCTAGTTGGAGATCTTTCCAATCAATGATAAATACAACTACGATATTAACGATAAATAACGGATTATCTACGTACTTTAAGATTTTATCACACACGGGTAATAGGTACTTCCGATATCGTGAAACTGCCGTCGGATGCTCCCATCCATCACAGCGATCAACAATCTAACGGTCCAGCTTCGAGTTCTCTCAAATAGTTAAGTAATCACGAGGGGGGTGCACATGGTCACGTTTCTAGAGAAGTTCAATCCTAGCAAAACCTGCCATGGATTGATATTCCTTGGTATGGGAATGTGTTAAATGCAAATCGCGCGAGTCTATCCACCGCAATAATGAGCATGCCTAAGTATTTACCTATTTATAGAGCCCTTCACCTTTGGTGCTCCTCGCCTTAAGCCAACGGAACTTCTTCTTCTTCCTTTCTTACCGGTCCTTCTTCTGCATCCAATGATCATGTCTAGAATACTCCGACCATGCCCGTAAGTAAGCGTCGGATCAATGATTTACCAGAAAGAATGCTTCGTTCTAGGTAAGATATCTCTCCCTCGATCTCGATCTCGATCTTGATATCGATCTCGAATGATGATTCTGATGTCCTGGCTTTCTTTTTTTCTGAATGACAGCAGGAGTCGCAAAGATGGCGGGGGATTCGCTGAGAGATCTTGCGGAAGCAAAGTCTCCGTCGATAGGAAGGGCCGCTTTGTTGCTGGACGACATCGTAGATTTCGATCCAGTCGCAGGAAGTCGCTACACCCGCCATCCTCTGTGGCCGACTGCTTAAGAAGCCACGCATGAGGGAGATGCCATGAGCCCTATCTAACTTTTCTTGCTCTTGTCTGCATGGAACACCTTTGTCTCATGGTGGCAAGCTACCGTTCTCCCTCCTCAGGAGATCACAAGGGAAGAGAACATGGGAACAAGTTAAATGGTCGCGACTCGCTAGGTTCGACGTCTCGTGTATCTTATGTACAATCGTACGAGGACCAGTTATTTTGAGTATTGTGTGTGCGCGAGAGAGAGAGAGCTTTCCTCGATATTATGCAAAAAAGTTCATCTTAGCAATGGTAATTCCAATTAGGGTGCCTCCAATGATATGCAACGCAACTCTATTTTCCGCTCTAATGAAGGAATTCGCACAAAATTCGCGACATGACGGTGCTTTTGCATAAATTATTTCGACCAAAGAACACTGAAATTCGAATGATGGTGAATTTTCTCGTCATTCGACAACTAATCAAAGATTTGCAATGATCGGTGTGATCATAACGTACAATATAATTCAGTTGCTTAGATGTGAACTTTTAAATGTTTAGTATCGAGTTTGAAAATTGGATAAACGAGATTAACTATTATCCTTATGCGAAGTTCGTGCGATTCCCCAACTATCTCGGAATTAAGTCGTGATTGTTTGGTTTAACATGAACGCCTACACAGTTAGACTCGTAACTCCAAGTTATGATATTGATGGTTGCGACATTAATGAGTTTGATCGACGTTACAAACGCATCTAATTCAATAAACCGGTGCTCATGTACATAATCGAAAAGAAATCCGACTTTAACGAAGACTAATCCTCTATGACCCTTAGCTGCGCGTAGCACCCCTCAGGTGAAGCATGCGCTGTTAAGCATGATTCCGGTAAATTTCCTTTCTCTTTGCTCTTAGCGAACAGCCGAGACAATGAGGATCGGCATGTGGAGAAGGCACACACTCAAACATGAAAGGGAAGAACTACAACTACAAGAAAGCATCACCCGTAGTCGAGTCTTCATCCAAGCAACAGATGTTCGATCTAGAAGTGGAATTCCAATAGTCGAGTCTTTAGCCGAACGACAGATGTTCAATATTTTGAAGCGAACCATCGATGTAGAACTATACATCCCAGTATATTGCTTATCCTAGACCACAATGGCAAGCACTTCAACATAAAAAAATAATAATTTCAAGTTGATTACTTGCACAAAACCAATCTGCAAACTCTCAAATTTGTGCTACTCGAGCGCATGTCGTATCATTCTACACTAACAATGCATTGAAAAAGCACGACCACATGCATCGGAAAACACTCCACAACAAACTTCACACTGGAAACTCGACTCGTATACAAACCCCGCGATCATCCGCACGCAACAAGCAAACGAAGCGAAGCAAACCGAAATTGATCAAGAATTCAGCTGATCGAGCTCGAGAATCGATCCGAGAGACGAACCTCCTCGTGGGACAACCCCGAGGCGTAAAGGAAGGACGAAATTGACGGTGAGCTTGGACGGGATCGAGCACGCCCGCCGTCCGCGCCGCCAGGAGATCCGCGGAGAACGGGGCCGGGATGAGGCCCCGGCGGCGGCGGCGGCGGCGGACGTCGTCGGGGTGGGCCGGCGGAGCGGCCTCGTCGCTCGCCAGAGCATGGCGGAGCTGGATCGGAGGCTCGCTGGTCTCTCGCGGGGTCATCGGCGGAGGGAGGAATGCTGGTTTAGGGTTAGTTAACGGCGGGAAGGGCTAACAGTAATACGGTCGCCGCCATCTTTGGCCGTTTGAAATGTCCGTACATACAAACTTTGGTAGATAGAAGGAAAGCAGATAATTTTTCTTTAGGTTCGAAGTTCGTGCGATACGCCAATCGTCCCGAAACTAAGTTGGGCTATGTAGATTGAGAAGAGCCGTTGCTCGAATAATTGGATATGTATTATCTCGTGCCTTGTACATATAAAAGGGAAAGGGAGACAAAAGAGAGTAAAGAGAAAATCGAGAAATGGAGAAAAATCTAAAAAGACCACGAAGAATGACACGCGAAGGGAGAGAGATTAACGGCGTCATTGAACAAAAATTCGACGAGGTCGGATTTAATTGTCAAAAAAAAAAAGGGAAAAAACCACCAAAAATCCCAAATTTTGTCATCTGTGACACATTTATCCCAAACTTTTTTTTGTGACACCAAAAACCCCGAACTTTGCTTTTTGTGACACATTTACCCAAATGTATTTAGTCCATGGGCATTTTCGTCTTTTTGCTTTTTCTTTTTTTTTTTTTTTTTCCTTTCCGTGAGGGGGCCTCGCCGGCTGTCCGGGTGAGGCGCCCATCGCCGGATCTGGGCGAGGGGCCCTCGCCGGCGTCCGAGCGAGGCGGCCGCGCGGGCTTCGCCCGGTCGCGCAGGTCGACCTCGCCTCGCCGGGCGAGCGAGGGCGGCCCTCGCCCCCGATCTCGGGCGAGGTCGACCTCACCGGCCGGGGCGAGGTCGCCCTCGCCGCTCGGGCGAGGGTCGAAGGAGCGGCGCCCTCGCCCCTCGGACGCCGTGAGCGGCGGCCCTCGCCAAGCCGGGCGAGGGTCGCCCCGCTGGGCGAGCGAGGGCGGCCCTCGCCCGACGCCGGGCGAGGGCGTGGCGGCGAGCGAGGGTCGCCCTCGCCCGATCGGGCGAGGGCCGCCCTCGCCGGCGTCGGGCGAGGCCGCCCTCGCTCGCCCAGGGCGAGGGCGACCCT